AGAGAGAGAGAGAGAGAGAGAGAGAGAGTGTGTGTGTGGATATCTACACATGCACAGAGCAAACTTCCTCTATTATATATATGTTCCTCTCTCTTGGTGTTTCACACACACACACACACACACAGTACTTTTTTGTTTTTAGTGTGCATTTTCTCTTATCTCACTTTCTTCATTTAAAAAACCTTAGGGTCAGCTTAGTACTAAAAGGCCACGTGCTTAATTTCAGCAAGCAGTTTCTCTACTCAGCTCTGTGAACAGACTTGAGCCCTGACCTGCCATTTCCCTGACTGTATACTCTGGCCTTTCTGAGAAAAGACTGCTGGTTGTGTAATGCAATATAATTTGTTTGTACAAGTGGCTGCTCATCTATGCCCGGAGCCAGATTTAAAAGGCTTATGCATTACACAGTCTTCAGATGCAGCTTACCTATTAAGTTACACTGAAAACCACTAACATTTGTGTAGATCTTTTTACTATCTGTGTAGGTAAGTAGAAAATGTGAAGCACCAGTAGGTTTTGCTGTCACTCATTCAATGGATGGTCATTCATAGTGAGATAATGCCTGCACTGGTGAAGGCCCAGTTGTGTTTGAAGCTGTCACTGTCCAACATTTCTACAATATTGTTTAAGAGATAATCTAGCTAGATCACTGAATGCAGCTAATTTCATAATGCCCCTAGCATTCTGCTGTTTGTTAGGAGACTATTAGAACAAGAAGCTTAGAGAAAAATAAAACCCCAAACTAGACAGAGATTCCCTAAACTTCTGCAACAAGCTTACACTATTTTTAAAAGCAAGTTTAGGTACAGGAATTTTCCAGATACTTTGCCTATCCAGTTCTTGCTGTTAGTGTGCTGTTTTAAATTCTTCAGAATATAGTCCCATGTTCTTAGAAACATCTTCATTACAACCTTCAAGAAAGAGAAACTGGTTATCAGATCATAGATCAAAGTAATCATTAACTTGATGCAACTAAAATGGGACATATGGGGACATTTTCTAATCTTAAATTTTGGCATATACTAGTAGGAATGCAAATACCATGTGGATATAAAGTTCACTTACTAAAATGCTTTAGGGGATCTCTCCCTTCAAAGTCAGGCTACCCCTTTTACTTGAACTGAAGGATTGACTCAAGAGCCTATTGGCTAATGATTTTTAACAATGGTGCCATGGCACCCTGAGGTGCTTTGAGATCCTTTCAGGAGTGCTGCAGGGTGTCAGTGTTACCACTGTTAGTTATGCAAACATGATTCACTAGATAAACTTCAACTTCTCATAGGTATTCACAATATTAAAAACATTTTTGACCTGTTGTGGTTTTTCTGAGATCTTTGCAACAAAAGAATTGCTCTATTATATTTTTTGGAGTAAAAATGAGTGAAAACTAAGAGCTAGCATTTTTAAGGGTACCTTGAGTCTAAAAAGGTTGAGAATCACTGGTCTAGCCATTAGAGAAAAACCAAGGACACAGATAATTGGTTTAAAAAAAAAATCACACACAAGAGCTACAAAATACAAAGCTATATGAATTAATGTGCATGAATAAAACCGTTAGCAGAAACAAGAAACCATTAGCAGATATGAGAACACCATTTGAAACAGGGAATCTGGAGTTTGTTTCCTAGGGAAGTCGATTTCAAAAGTGCCCAGAAGCCCCTTCTGGACTTTGAAGTACCCTCTTACATTATGAGCAGCTACACATCCCATGAAGTAGGAGGCAGCTGTCTAACTGGCGGCCTGTGGGCCACATGTGGCCTGGGAGGGGTTAACATGAGGTTCTCACCCAACTGCTGCTGTCCCTATGGCTTCAGTTATAACAGCAGCTGGGGGCTTGGCACTTCCCCTCCTCCCCAAGCTTCTGCTGCCTGACCCAGCCGCAACCCAGCTTGGCACAACCTGGCAGCCAGGACCTTCTGTGCCACATGGCATTAAGGAGGAGCCCATAGCTGCAGGCAAGACAGGGTGCCACACTACATGGGGACAGGAACTCCTGCCTGCTCACATGCAGTGCAATTGCGTGGAGGAGCACCCATCCATAGGCATGGGGTGCAGCCTGGGGTGGGACAGCATGGCCCCTGCTAGTATAACCCCCACAGTATATGGACCCCGTTGGTGCAGCCTGTGGCTCATGCAGACCCCAGCCGTTTACAAACTAAACAGCTCTGAAGTAGGATATCCTGACTCCAGTGAAATCCATAGCAAAAGGCTTTCACTCCAAGTCTTAAGAACATGAGGAATACCATTTACTGCATTAGACCATAGGTCCACCTAGCCTGGTATGCTATTTCATATAGTAGCACCATATGAATTCTGCATGGGAAGCTGAGCAGGGCATGTTAGGAAGCCCTTTGTGTGAGCATCAAGGTTACTGGCATTTAAAAAGGGTCCCTTGATGCAACCTTAACTAGCTGGGACACCACAAGCTCTATACAGAACCTTCCATCCCTGTTCCTTTCCCCATTACATCTTCCAGCAATCAGATTGAAGAAGTTCTAAGTCAAGGCTGCACCCTTACCTATAACGGGCAATAGCTACTGATAAACTTTTACTCCAAGAATGTGTCCAATCCCCTTTTGAACTGGGTTAGGCTACCACAGCCTCAGTGTTATTCTGTGGCAAGGAATTACCCAAGTTAATTACACACTGTGAGAAACGATTTCTTCTTAGTTTTAAAGCTGCTACTTTAGATTTTCATTTCATGTCCCCTAGTTCTTCTCTTTTGAGAGATCAGAAATAATAAATCCCTACTTACTTTCTGTGCACTGTTTAATTTTTGCTTCGAGTTTAAAGCTGCTTGATTGCATGGCCCACTCTAAGGTAGCACCCTGCTATCCCTTCTGTCCTACTTTCTTTGGCTTGCTTTGAGTAAGTTATTTCATTAACACTTCATTCGTTAGTCCAATTCCCAGCCCCAAAAGTCATCTACCCAATTCCCATCTCAGCATGACAACCAACATAATTCCTCTCCAAACTCAGTCTTTCAGTGAATCACTCTATTGCTATCTCCATGATCCCCACCATAAAACACACTGTAGACAGAAAATGCTGTATGTGTATTACACCAGAGCAGTGATTCTCAACCATGGTGCCATGGTATCCTGGGGGGCCTTGAGATCCTTTCAAGGGTGCCACACAATGTTAGCACAATTAGGTTTACAAGATAAGTCTATATTTGTCTTTGAGCACTTTGCAACAGAAAAAAACTTCAATTATTTTTCTGTAGGCAAAAAAAAGATTGAAAACTAAGAGCTGGCATTGTCCAAGGGCTGCCTCAATTCTAAAGTTTGAGAACCCCTGCACCAGAGAAACCCAAGGAGGGATAGAAATGAGGATGCCATGTCTCTCAGCATCAAGTCACTCATCAGTCATGAGTTCCTTGATGTGGTCTTAACAAGCTGGGGCACAAATGTGTGTTTTATAGTAATCCTGATGTTCTTAAAACCATGAACAACTGAAATCACCATCTTTCACCAAGCGAAGCTAGTTAATGATGGTCAATGTTGCAACAGCATTGTGAATTATATACTATTGGAAAGCTACTTTATTCTTAAATGCTGGCCATGGTCATTTAGGGCATTTATACACATACTCTTCTGTCCTGCAACACAGGTGTGGCAGGTGAACTCAGAGACAGATGGAGTGGGTGGCATAGGTGGAGGGAGGAAAAA